GTGCTGCAAGGAGGAGATGTCCAAATCAGTCAGGATGCCAGCAGTGCAAGATAAACCACAGCATTCTTGGGTGGTATCATCTGATGCCTCTTCAATTTGTGACCTTCTACAAGTGGCCGTCCCAGTGTGATAGTTTTCAGTGTATAAGTGCTTATCATTTCTTGGCTCAAACATTGCTGTGAATTACAAATCGGAGCATCTCCAAGAAGCTCAAACTTCTGGCACATTGTAAAATGCAAAGTCCCTCATGTGAAGAGATCTCAACACTCGCAGCTTTTCCTTCGTTGGTTAAAGGTTTCTGCTCACACCCAGTGTATAGAGACAGGTCTCTAATAAGAGACTGCTGGTGTAGGCTGGAGCCTAGCGGAGTAAGGACTGTGGCAGGAGAGTCCACAGCCTGTCCTCAACTCCCCAGCTTAGTCAGCAACATATTTCCCTGTTGGGCACCTCTTTGTCTCTGGGTAGTATCAAGGTGAGATTTTTCTTTTTCAAAGATGAGCACTACTAAGATTTACAAAGGGAAAGCACTGAGGGAGTGGGTATTTATAGCATTTCCATGAACAGTCTCTTGAAATGAATGCAGTCGTGTAATGTGGCTTTCCAGGAGTGTGGTTTTGTTTAACCGGTGTATGACTGCTTCTGAAATTGCTCCGGCACTCGAAAGACATTGATTCTTTCAAACCAGGAGATGGCATCTTCGTAGGGATTCCCCATCTTTGTCTAGATGGAAATAGTTACCTTTTGACTAATAAAATCTGGGTTTCTCATCTGTGCCTCTAATGCAGGTATCTTGACCTTCAATCTGCAGAATGCTCAGACAACTTCCAAACAGGCCAAATCCAGGTTCAAGGTGTCTGCTTGGCCATAGCCATGAAGGTTAGAAACACCTTGTTTTGGCTGAAAAAATAAGGTTGGAAGTGATTGCTTTGAGCCATAAAAATCCGTGAGTATCTGTATTGTCTTCAGTAGCAACTCTAACTGTGGATCATTTTCACTTGGACTCTACAAATAAAACATTCCACAATTCGTTATAGTTTCAGCCTTGAAGTGTTCCTCAAGCTGATGAAAATCGGAGGTCAGGCTGCTTGGAATGTGGCTGTTCCAGTTCCCTTTGCTACTGCAAACTGCTCTAAATGCAGCTTCATCCATGATCCCCTGTGGCAAACACAAGCCTGAAGACATGAGACCAAAATCTCTGAGGGGACAATACAAGTGGTGGTGGTGGCTCTCATTTGCTGCAAGATTATTGGGTTGTTTCACTTTGACAAATGAGGTTGTCATGTAATAGAGACTATTTCAGAGCATGTTGCTTTATGCATGAGGAAATGTCATTTCTTCAGATCTTCCTAGGGAGAAAGGAGGGATGCAGGGAAGTGACAGCAGTCTGAGCCCTGCCAGCCTGTTTGAGGGCAGCCTGACTCGCCTTCACAACCGACTGTGGCTTGGAGCCTTTGAGGTAATCTAAGCAGAATGAGGATGGCTTAAATAGGTCCTTGAAGACACTGGAATGATTAGAAATATGACCAGGCTCTATTGAGTCAGCAATAGCAACAAAATAACTGGGCACTTCATGCTAGACACACACTCGAGAGCAATTATGATATTTAAATCTAAAGCCAACTACTTTGGCTCTGATCTTGGCGGTGCTGGCAGGCAGTGAGCAGGTCAGCACAGTCTGGTGGTGTTTGAACAGGGGCCTCTTAAGGTGACACTGGATTTAATATTCTTTTATGACTCCTACATTTAGGCTTTGAAGAAGCAAATACCTGGCTCTTGGGAAGCAGAGGGAGAGGATCACAGCATGTCCAACTGCTTTGGGGGGCAGGAGGCATCTCCAGGCTAACACTGAAACACAGCTCCTCTGCTGGGGCTGCATCAGTGGGTATTGCCCAAGCCCTGGAGAGCAGCAGTGCAAGATGCTAATGTGGAAACATGCTGCTTTCTGAAAGTAATTGTGCAAGGAAGACTATAAACAGACATCCCTGCCCCCAAAATCGATCATCCCTAGCACAGATGTGAATTCTAACAGCTTACTTAGATAAGCCTTAGAGGATCCTATGAGCAGGAAGAGTCTAGTGTTCCAAAGCTGGAAGCTTAAGCGAAACTTCCACATTTTCTTGTTGTTTTGCACCTTTTTGGAGTGTGGCTGATGTTCACAAGTGAACTTAGCTGATGGTGCTGCAGAATAAGATGTGTACCTGCTCCAGTGCCCATGTGGGTTGTGTTCCACATCATAGCACAAGCTGATTTTAAAATAAAATAGGCTATGACCTGCAGCAGCTCCAGAGCAGACACATGCCCTGTTGAGCTGTAGCCCTTTGGAGTAGGGTTAAGTCAGCAAGTGGAACACTCCAAACTGGTGGGATTGACCTCTGAGCCATAAGGGCATGCTCGGATGGTCCAGGAACATCTCTGCCCTACAGAAATCCTGGGGTGCTCTTGGCTGCCTCAATACCTTGTCTCTTGCTACAGATGTGAGAAACACTGAAACTTAGGTCAGAGTTGTGTTGAGGGAGAAGGGCAGGCTGCTCTAGATGAGCTTACTCTGACTTTTGTTTTTGAAACCCATTGTAGGTAAGATGTGGCTTCTGGGTTTGCTGCACAGTCAAAAGTCCTTGGTTTATGGCTGCAGAGGGCTTCAGTGGGGTTAATTTGCAATTGCACTAATCAAAGCATCCCCAATTCTTTAAGGCTTCTGATCTTTTCGTTTCATTTGCAGTGTTTCTCGGAGCCATAAACTTGGTTTTACAGCTTACATAGTCAACCCTTTCACCACGTGTACATTAACAGGAGTATTTTTTTGTTGGTACTATGTGATTTCCTTCTAGCAAAATGTGTGATGCTCTTCAGCTGAGCTGGATGGTGTGAAGGGGTCCCCAGGAACAAGACAAGGGAATGCTGTAGTTTCCCTTGTATATTAGAGCAGCACAAACAGTATTCGTACTGTCTGTTGGAATGTGGAAGGATGAATTTGGATCTAGCTTATCGACCCTGAACACCACTGACTGTCCCCAGGAAACTGCTGCCTTTCTGTGCTCACGTGCTGCCCTCGCCTTGTTTTGCCTGGCTGCAGAGTTTGATATCAGACAGCAATTGATTTCCTTTCCCCAATGACAGTGCTGTGGAAAATCTGAGCTGTGCTCCTGTTAAACATGCCAGCACCACCACTGCACCCCTCCATCCCCTGGTTCTGGGTGCAGTGGTGTCACAAAGGCTCACTGTTAGGTGGTGGGGACCCCAGGCAGCTGGCATTCCAAGTGCTCTCCATGGGGAAGAACAGAGGCTGTGTGGAGTGAGAGACAAGGTATTTGATTGTAGGGATATGCTTTCTCCACTGACAACTTGGGTGGCTCTTGCTTGTCCTAGATAATAGCCCCCTGGTACGGTAAGGCAAAGGCAGCATGAATGTTCCCCATTTTGGTTGTGTAGCCACAGCTCATCAAGGGTTGCTCTGTTCAGGCTGCTCCTACTTGAGTGTACAAGACAGGCCTTAAGACTTGGCCTAGAAGTTGCTGTAGCTGTTGCAATGAGAGAGAGTCATGGAGAGAGCCCTGGCACAGTGACTGTGGGCACTGCTCACCCATGGGGTGCTCAGTGGCTCTTCAGCCAGGGGAGTGTCCTGTGATGGGGCAAAAAGCTCTCATAGCTGTGCTCCCATGAGGAATGCTTTCCCTCTCCAGCATGTTGTGCTCTGTGTCAGGTAGAATGTCCAGATTTCTGCTATAAGGGGAGAGTAGGTAAATTACTGCACAAGGCAAGTTTTAAATGGACCCAATCTACACTACACCTAAGGAGGCTTTTGGGGATGTTTGGCAGAGAACATTGGGAAGGAGGGGGAGCAACTGTGCAGTGACCATTGCTTTAGCAGGTAGGAACTTGCAATTTGAAGTGCAAAACTTTACTGAGATCAGGGAATATGGATTGGAGCAGGGAACCCAAAGGAGTGATAGCCCCTACAGTCATCATTCCTGCTACTGTCATCAGAGCTGTACTAGGAAAACACTTAGAAACTGGGGTTCTGTTTGTACAGCCCATCTGTGGTATTGGTTGGGTTACCTGGGAGATGTGTGGGTCTCTGCTAGTACCTATCAACAGCCAGGGGAAATGTGTGCATGGAGCAGGATGCTTCATGGGGTTTCAGTTTGAAGGACAGAACCCCTTTATAGGGGACCAAGCACTATGGGTTGGAGCAGGGCACCAAGGAGAGCGAGTTGTCCCTGCAGAGACAGGAGCAGGATGAGGCCTCTGTTGCTGTTTGTGTTCATCTCAGTGCTCTTCTGTGATCTGTGTGCCCAGCCATGTGTATATACATACATGCAGTGGATGTGTGTGCTCCGTGTGCCTGCTGGGAACACATCTTCAGCCTTACTACTGGTTGGATCTGGGGACATGAAGCAGCAGCAGCCTTGTCATTCTTGGGCTGTAGCATCCGGATGATATGTTTCCCTTTAATGCATAGCAGCAGGGGTTTAAGGTACTTCACAGACTTTTGTTCCTGCCATCAGCATCTAACAAACTTTATGGCTTCTTTCCATTTTTGTAGGAAACACCAACACCCCGGTCCAGACACTGAAACTTGTCAACTGATGGGACAAATTGCTGAGACACTTGGCTGTATTAGGACACTAAAACATAGGGTTTAGCCAAAGAAAATTTCCCCAACGTGGAGGCTGACACCTGCCAAACTCTGTAGCATTCTTAGGAGACTTTTCTATTCCTCTCCTCCGTTTCCAGCCTTTCATACATCATGGTATTTCTTTTGACTTCTTTTGCAAGCTAGCTCTGGCTCTGCCTTCTGCTTCCCCTTATGCTTTGGTTTGGGTTACCAGTGTGAGCTGCTGGCTGTAGGCTGTTTCTGCGTTTCTGCCTCCAGCTTCTGCTTGGAGGCTCCTCTTGGATGTTGTGACTGACCTGCTTTTTCTTTCTCTCTTGCTGTATCTTCTTCTCTCTCTCCCCAATCTGTCTTTTGCGTTCTGTTCTTCCCACCTCCATTCCTGCAGGTTCATCATGCCTAGTGGCATATAAAAAGACTCCACCTCCTGTCCCACCGCGGACCACATCAAAGCCGTTCATCTCTGTCACTGTGCAGAGCAGCACTGAATCGGCGCAGGACACCTACCTGGACAGCCAGGACCACAAAAGCGAGGTGACCAGCCAGTCAGGACTCAGCAATTCCTCAGACAGCTTGGACAGCACCAGGACACCCAGCGTGACGAGGGGAAGCGTTGTGGCTCCAGCAAGAGACACTCCAGAGTTACCTCAGAAAAATGCAACTTTGAAAAGTGACAAAGGGACTCTGACCAGCGAAGAGCCTAAAGTGGAGAATATCCCCAAAAGAAAGCTGTCATCTATAGGAATACAAGTATGGAATAGTTTGTTCTTCTTTGTCCTAAGGAATGTCCTTTAACCCATCCATTTAGCGTGTGCATTTTGTGTGACCAGGTGTGCAGCTAAACTCAGAGTAGCAACAGAAACTAAGTGCCTTGTCAAACTAACTCCCTGTGTTCCCGAGGTGAGAGACAGCAGAAGCTTTCCATAACAGACCAGAAAGAACTAAGTTCTTTTAGTATAAAATGTTTCATAAAGCAGTGGGACTCTGTTAACCGGGTGAGTCCCTCTGAAGAGGCCTTTTGCTGCTTGTATGCCTGTGCTCTGTACTTCACATCAGTCTACTCCTTGCCCATCGCTGCTCTAGGGACAACTTCTGAGAGGTGAGCCCCTTCTATTTGACATCATGTAACATGGGCTGCTGCAGTGAAAATGGTCCCAGGACTGCAGGCAGGAGGGAGCAATTCCTTGCTGTTCAATTCCCAGCAGGTTGCTGCTTCTCTTGCTGGAAGCATTTAACTCTGTGGAAATCAATGGAAATGAGCTGTTGATCATATAGTCAAATGAGAACACATTGAGTAAATCTGTGCTTCACTTGACAGACTTCAGTCATCTGCAGTTGTCCACTCTTCTTGTGGACAGATTTCCCAGTTACAGATGGCTGCTGTGAGCACTTGGGCAAATCCAATGCAGGTTCTGGGCTTTGAGCCACCACATGTGTTTATGCTGAGTAGGTTCTCCATTGATTGCAGTGAGACTGACTGGCCAGTTAGGTACATGTGCTAGTGAAGGTTTCTCTGCAGGGCTAGTGGGACAAAATACATGCTGAAATGGCAGCCAAGGCAAGAAAACTCGCACTGGGGAGGCTTGACTGCCTTTGTCTTCTCTTCCTTTTCAAGCTGGTTCCCCAACCACCTGCCCCACAGCCTGGATTTTCTTCCTAAACCCTTCTAACCCTTTATCCAGAGCTGTGGAGGGTGCCAGTCCCTGGGGCAGAGGAAGCTGGGCTTTGCTGTAAGTCTCAATCAGATCACTGCCCTCTCTTGAGTCTCCTGGCCTTTACCCACCTCAGATGCCCATAGAGTTGCTCCTTCAGGTACATGCAGCCCAGCCCCAGTGTGCCAAAGCTGAGCACCTGAGGGCTCTAGAGCAGGTACCTGGCAGAACTGATGCTCAAGTGGAGGCCAAGCTGAGCAGTAACCTTGTTCCTCTCCTTAGACAACCCTGCAGTTGGTGTGTGGTGTCAGCATGCTGTGTGTGTGTGTGCAGCACTCCTGGTCTACTAATGTGAATTCCAGCAGCAAGTTCTTGTGTCTGTTTTTGTCTGTATTTTTCTTGTTCAATAAGGTTGACTGCCTTCAGCCAGTGGCAAAAGAGGAGCCTCCTCCACCAGCCACCAAATTCCAGTCCATCGGGGTACAGGTAGAGGACGAGTGGCGGTAAGTGAAAGGTGCAAGCTTTTGTAGTTTCCTTTCTTTTCAATTGTGCTCTTCGCCCACTTTTGCTTAGACCTTCTCCCCTTCTTTGTTCCAATATGAGTGGTGTTGAATGGGGGCCCATGGAGAGCTCTTCCTCCACAGCACACACCCGCTGCAAAAAAAAGCACTTGTTCTGTAAGCAGCCAAATCAATGGGAGTTTGAAATTTCAAATGAAAGTACAAGATGTAATTACAGATGTGCGTCAGTCCTCTCAGCTGAATGGCCTATTGCAGTAAGCAGGCAACCTTATAATTTTGTCTGTCTGAATGTGTGGTGTGTGTTTGTGTGTGAGGAGGGGCAGGGCGGGCAGGGTGAGGCTCAGCTGCAGGCATAATAAACAAGTGCGTTTCACTGTCAGTGTGTGAGGCCAGCCAGGGTGAGTTCTGCTCTTTAATGTTTGGGTTTGATCTCTCTAGAAACAGCCACTCTCGCAGCATGTCCACCAAACAGGACACAGACTCTGACACACAGGAACCTAATAACTCTAGCTGTAAATCATCTGAGAGAAGCCTCGCTGAGTGCCCCCAACACAACAACTCCGTTGGTGGTGATGCCACTACCAGGCAAGCAGCCAAGCCCTCACAGATTAAGAGAAACCTCTCCTATGGAGAAAACAATGACCCAGCCCTGGAGCCTTCCTCTCTCCCTCCTCCTGACCCCTGGCTCGAGACGTCCTCCACCTCACCATCAGAACCCACACAGCCAGGAGCCTGCCGGCGGGATGGATTCTGGTTTCTGAAGCTGCTGCAGGCGGAAACAGAGCGGTTAGAAGGCTGGTGCCGCCAGATGGACCAGGAGACCAAAGAGAACAATCTCTCTGAAGAAGGTAGGTGGTGTCAGCCCCTGGACACCAGACTGGAGCAGCCCAGCAGCTCCTCCTCTGGAGTTGTAACTGAGTATTGGATCAGCTTCCTGCAGTTAAATTGCTGATAACCCATAGAGAACATGGAGATGAGTTTGGGACAAGGAATTCTTTTCCTTTGGAAAGGATAAGGCAACTTCCTCTAGCAGACAGGGTAAGAAATAGTACCACGATGCAGCATGTAAGATGTGCAGGGCATGGTGCAGCTTCTGACCATTCAAACTGCTAAAAGCTTAAATGAATTGCTTTTCAGGGAGGCTGTAGGATCCTTCTCCCTGCATAACCCATTCTACAACAGTGGGCAGGTGAAAGCAGTGGGGCAGAATGAGCGTCACTTCTGAGCTTGTTTGATCCGTTGAATCAGTGGACTTGTCTTCACAGCAAAGAGGAGGCTTCTTCACAGAGGAAAGCTTTGCTGGTTTTGTGCCAAATACACACAAAGCACATGTACAGGAACACAAGGCCACTTGATTTTATTGGGTTCACTCCCAGTTGAGCTTGTTACACTATTTTCAAATGAGTTGGCAAAACCTGTGCTGCTTACAGTGAAAACCATGCCTGTGGCGCCTAGAGTGACAGAAGGGGCTGACTAGGCTGCAGAGGGCAGGATCTTTTGTTTAGAGTCTGGCTGATTTATTTTTTTAACACCTTAGAAAGGTGAAATAATGGTGAGACTCAGTTATAGCTCCCACCCACTGCTAGGGCTTGGGGATCTAATCTCTAATCCTATTGCACTAAGATGCTGAACTGGCTGCCAAGCTGGACAGGCAGTGCCAGGGTTTTCCCTGCAGCAGGGATGCCCTTGTTTTGCCTGTGGCAAGAGTGTTCTGGCAAGCAAAGACACCAAGACCAGTGTTGTGTGATATCTGTGACCCCTAAAAGCAATCTCAGAGTAGATTCTGTAACTGAGAAGCTGGTGGGTATGAGGGGAGCCCAGCTTACACTTGTCCCATCAAGAGCTAGAAACATTCAGAACTGATTCAGTAGGTGCAGCAGCAGACCAGGGAGGAGGAGTTGCTTCATCCCTGTTTGTGGTGCAGTTGGGTCTCTCAGCCATGCCCTTGGAAGGGAAAAGCCCATACAGTGTTCTCCATTAATGAGCAGAGGAATGTTGCCATGCCCAGAGGCTTCTTGGAAACCCCACTAAGAGCAGTGTAAAGTCCTGGGTATTAAAAGCCCAAAGCCTGCCAGTATTTTCATCCCTGCTGGTAAATGGAGGTTGGAAACAGTTCTCCTGCCCTTCGCTATTTTCACCTCGTTCATGAGTGCAAGAGCAGGTTGTGCAGATCTGCTCACTGGAGTTGGGCTGATGGGCTGAGGGCACTTGAAGGTACATTCTGCCCCCTCCAATGCAGTGTTCTCAGGCTGGCCTGCTTCTGACCTGCTCTAGAAGGAGCAATAGTAGATGACAAAGGCTTAGATTGTCTCAATACATCTTTCCCTGAGAGCAGTCAGTTCCTTGGGGATCTCTGAAACTCCTTTGCTAATGAATCAAAAGTGTTTCTTTGCTCCAGAAACACTTTAATAGCCTCTTCTTGTTTCCTTTTCTCCCTGCAGTCTTAGGAAAAGTCCTGAGTGCAGTGGGCAGTGCACAGTTACTAATGTCACAGAAATTCCAGCAATTCCACGGCCTCTGTGAACAAAACTTGGTGAGTCTGGATGTATTTCTCCTAGTTTTGGAGTGGGGGATGTATCTGTTCCAACAGACATTGTATTAACAGGCTGCTATCACTGTAAAAACGGAGTCAGTGTAGCTGTCACCTACAACCTGACCACCAGGCCATGATGGGTGAATGCTGATTTAAACCAGCAGCTGAGCAGTGGGAGGCTGGTCACCTCACCCTCTTCTGCACAGACAGTTGTTGGGCTGTGCTCTGCTCAGGGAGGAGTGTTTGCAATTCCTTCTGGTGCTCACGTGAGCACTGGGGAATTCTCTTGAGCTGCTGATCAGGGCTGAATACACCAAGTCTCTGGGTCTGAATTGTCAGCTGGCCACACTGCTGTTTGTCCTGGAAACTACCTCTTTCTTGGTACTCCTAAAGGGCTTTTTTGAGGGGGAACACTGAGAT